GCTCGTTGTACGTTGACCATATGGACATGATAATCACCCATGGGATGAATCAGCAGATTCTTGATCTGAAGCCCAAAATCACACGACACCTTAATTAGCTGGTGCTGATATCGCCCTTCACAGCACTAATTTGTCACCAGCAGCAAAATAGCTTCTGGCAAGTACCTTTCTTTTGAAATTTGTCAAAAGTGTTAAGGAAAAAACAGAGGGAGCATTTAAATGATGAACCAGCATTTATATTAAAGTGCTGATAATGCTTTATGACCTCTTGAAGTGCTATATTCACATATGCAGCCACACATTGCATGCATGTGTAGCACTGGGTAAAGTTTGGAGTTCACAAACACAAACAAATGAATGGCCTGCTCTACCTCCTGAACTACAACAACACACATACGACCACAAGCATTTGAAATCTGTGAGGAAATCTCCCCTTACAGGTAGCTCTACATGGCAAAACGACATTTTACACTGAATCATGTTACATATTCAAGCCAGTTTTATTTATAAAGATCCAATTTACAACAACAATTGATTCAAGGTGCTTTGCAGCGTAAGGTAAAGACCCTACACTACTGGGTAAAAGCCCAACAACTGAAAGACCCTGAGCAAGCACTTTGCGACAGTGGGAAGGAAAAACTCCCTTTTAATAGGAAGAAAGCTCTGGTAGAACCAGGCTCGGGGAGGGGGAGCCATCCACACCCCCTCCTCAATAAGAGAAGAGAAAAGAAGACGAGAGCATAGTTAAAAGGATAAAACATATCAGCAGTCAATTATGAGGACATAAGCACAAGTTTGTCTCAGTTATATCCTGACTAATATATGCCGCCATCATTAAACTATTTGGGACTGTGTTTACTTCTAATGACATGCAGTTCCCAATAAGGTGTAAATAATTGCTGCCCTCCTCAGGAGGTGTAGCCACCATGAAGCAGTGAGTTGAAAAGGTCAGACGTGTTCAGCACGCCAGCTCTAAAGTGGTTTATTAGCATCCCAACGACATATTCAGGAGTTCGCCTGAGACATAATTACCTGGATAAGGTACAGATGAATACTGTATTTGGGAGAGAAGGCAAGGTTGGTTGGATATTGGCTTTGTCTCCATTAACCTGGAGCACGGTGTTAAAGGATCTGTTTGTGGAGAGAAAATGACAGGGAGTCGGGCTGACGGGGCTGGACTGAGACAGTTAAAGGCCCCTTGCTGCATAGGATAATTAATAAATAAAATACCAGGGGAGCCCCTGCCATGCCTTCGTCTATGACAGGGGCTGTCTCCAGTGCGCTAAAGCATTAAATGACCAATTTCTGTCAGACTAACTTCCACCATGCTCTCTCTCTCCCTTTCTCTCTCCCTCTCTCTTTTTGCGTGCCCTCTCGTCTCCACTACACCCTCACCCCTCTCTCCGCCGTTCCCTCCCTCGCTTCCTCGTTTTCTGAAGTGGGGCTACTTTGCTCTCTTTGCGCTGAGTTTTTCAGCGACTGATGGCTCTAGTTCATTTCTGCTGAATTAATTGGTCCCTGAATGAATTCTGTTGACAGGGCAATTCATCATGTGTTTGGCCTGACAGTGACTGGGTGTTGGGTAGGGGAGGGGGGCTGGGGGGTGGGTGGAGGTGCTGGGGAGTGTGTGTCTGTGTGTGTGTGTGAGTGAGTTCATGTGGGGCGTTGTGAAGTGGTGTGGGGAGCCAGTCAGAGGTGGTGGGGGTTGGTGTTTGTGGCCTCCTACTCCTCTTTCTCCCCCTCGTCTCTTCTTCCTCTTCTTCTTGCGCTGCAGAAGCTTTGGTGCTCTTGTTGAACTGTTTTACCAAAACAGTTGGGACTCAAACAAATCAGCCGCCCCTCCCCATCCGGCTGGGCTTCTGTCAGACAGAAGACGCTCTCTCAGCTTGAAGGGGGCACGCAGGTCAGTGCTACCCTATTTTATACATTTTGGCCTTTTGTTACGCCCCTACACACTTCCTCTCCAACTACAAATCCCTCCCCATTGCTTGATATGCACGCACAAACACAAGACCACCATTTCTCGCCCCACAGCTCCTCGGCTCTTTTGGAGAGTGACATAATCAGGTAGCAAGGCATATTTAGTGCTTAATTACACAATGTGTCGCACAATGGCCATTCAAAGCGATAATTTAGCTCCTGAAGGGAAATTGCTGTGCACTGCTGACTGATCTAACAGGGATGGGAATGGTATAATAGCATATAGTTGGCAGATGAGGCCTGGGTTGAGAAAGGCAGCAATTGCATTTCTCCAGACAGCTCTTTGGCTCCTCATTATTCTAATTGAGAACTATGCGACAGTGCGAGGATGCACAAAGAGCCTCAGCATCCTTTGAGCTTGAACATGGAGGAGACCTCTTTAGGCTGCGTTGAGTCAATCAATGCTCACTCATTACAAACATCACAAAGTCATGTTCTTGTCGCCTGGATGGTCTCACCCGCTGACAGTGAAAATAACCTCATAATCACTGTTCTGTCAGGATCGCGATCATCAGCGAACAGGCTTGAACTCTTTGGCTCCCGTGACACACTAAAGTACATGAACAATTACATGTTTTTGTGTAACTTTTGCTAAATTTAAGCCCAGTGTCCAAGCTCCCAGAGCATTTTAAGGCACATAAAAAAGAGAAAATTGGAAACACTGATGATTCTGTTTTGGGATTGTCTTTTAGTTTGGATGAGCAGAAGAGAAGGGTTTTGAAACAGCAAAACAGACACCAAGTAAGCTTCCTGAGTGGGTCTGTTCAACTACAAAAATTAAGCCACAACAGCTAGCCTCAAAAACTGTCAGTGGCAGAAATTTCAGGTCTTATTTTTTGCCATTTCTGCCCATTCTCCAAACTATTTTCTTCAAGCAGCATTTGTTTCTCATTTGCACGTTCACACTCAATGAATGTGTATGATATTTTGGTATACAGTTATTAGTATAGACAAAGGTTATTTAAGAAACTGTACAGAAATTGTTTAAATGTGGATATAACAGTAACTTGAGATGAAACTCTTAATACTTTTCATCCTTGAGCAAATTACTACACATCACACATCTACTTGCTCGGGGACACTTAAACACTTTTACATCTACTTATTGTACGCATATTCAATACAGCATAGAAATCTTTTTAACCCCCACCGCATAGCAACTCAGCGATAAAACACTGGACCACTGTGGCGCTTCCTCTTCCCAACACAAATCCATTTGGGATTAACAGAGTTAACGAAGGCAGCATTGTGAACAATACTGCACCCGTGCAGCCACTAATTAAAGTTGCTTCTAATGAGGGCCCGTTGATTGACACAGCAGGGTTGGCCTCTCCCCTCACTAGCATCAACTATGACAGCCACATGATGAGGCTGATGACAGGCTCCCATGCAGGCAGATGACAGGACGTCACTGCTAGACCACCACCGCTCCTCTTCCCCGAACAATGCTGCACTCGTTTGACACCGCGAAATTCATCGAGTCTCAGATTGTAGATGTTTATCCAAGGGATAAAAACATTAAACATAGTTTTCCCTGGCTTTGTGCTGTACTTAGTTGTTTGCTTGTTGCTTTCAAAGGAAACACCTTGTTAGCTCTGGTGGAAAAATCTTAGTGCTAATACAAACATTTCAAAATACTTCAGATAAATATACTTTGTAAAAATGCTTTTAAATGATCATGTACAGTTTTACATTCAAAAATTTTAATTTTTTGCAGCACATGAAATTTGAGCAGTTATTTAAATGAGAATGTTTGAAACTTTTGAGTATGGGACCTTTTTTTTTCAAATAAGGGCACACTTTGCATGTTATAAGCTTATGTATGATTTCCATTTTTAGATCTGATGCGATGAATAATCTGTAATGTTAAAATCTCACTGTTATATTGTGGGTCCGAATGGTACTTTTTCACATTTTGCATCTGACAATATATAAACTTTCACATATGTGAAATGTAATGCAGTTGCTTCAGACTGTGTCCACCTACCAGTGTCTTATTTTGCTGTTCATATTATCAGTGACAGGCATGAATCATGCCAAATAGGCCTAGCTATAGGGCATCACCAAGCCAAGCTGACAATAAGGGTGAAGTGTTTGAGTAAATCTTGCACGAGGCCCGCTGGCCCCCATGGCAGGGCCTCTCTGTGTGGGTTTGAGAAGCCCTGAGGATGACAGGTGCTTTTCGTAATGCCTAACTGATGAGAGCCAATCAGTGGGCTCCATTCTGCTGGTGTGTGTCTCTTCTCCTGTTGTTGTCATCTGGCCCTCTAAAGTAAAGATGAGCTTGACTGACAGATGCATCCGGGTTCACAGTTTATTGGTTTCTACGAGAGAGCCAGATATGCCAATTTAGACAGGGTAGTGACAAAAAAGTTCCCATCTAAATGGAATAATTTTACCACTGGGAATACTCAGCTGGGAGAAGAGGGAGTGTTAGCGCGCGCGTGTGTGTATGTGGGTGTGTATTTTATCTTTTAACAAGGCCTGAATGACAAACACATAGGACAGTTATGGGCTGACAGAAACAGAAGCTTTTGATGCTTCACAGGGGATCCATGAAATAAACAATAGGCAGAGGAGGCAAAGAAATTGAATTACAACTGGCTGGGCTTGTGTGTTTCAGAGTAGAAAGTGGAAGTGAGGCAGCACCAGTGTGGTATAGCAGAATGAAACCAATGCATCATTAAATATACTGGAGTCATTGCTCGCCTGCCTTCCCAACTGTCCTGCTTCTTTGTTTAACACTTCTCTTTCCTCCAGCAAAGGCAATTCTTCCCTTAAACACGGGAATAGCAAATTTTAAACAGCAGTCACGATTTAAAGGATTTCTTCAGAGATCTAAACACCAACACGCACAAACTGTGCTACGTTGTGCAACCTTTGTCTATTTCCTCTTAGAGAGCGCCTCGTGGATTACTGACTGTTCATAAAGTCAAATGTCAATACACCAGCAGCAGGAACGCTCGCCGGGAACCTTGAACTCTGAATCATTTTCTTATGGGGTTAATAATGAGGGGACACCGAGTCAACGACAGACATATAAAAGAATTTATTTCTCATGTGCACAAAAAGAATTGGAACAGAACTGAAACAATGATTGAGGCCACAAGGCTTTCCATATAGATTTTCATCAGAAATCCTTTTTATGTCCATGCCACATCTCCTGTATCATCTTTACAACGGCACAGGGCCCATTCCTGCAAAGGTGCTCCACTTCATAAAGCAAAGATTTTGCTTGAATGATGGTGGCATGCACTCTGCACCAGTGTTTCACTCTCAGATGCAAGTAGACAGAAATAGTTAAAATCCCAAGTGCAATTTGTAGAGGATAGCTTCTCTTGAAGAGCAGAACTGCAGTCTATTTCTCTGTTATCTGGTGCCCTCAGCAATGACACTTAACCCTGGTACCAGAAGATGCATTAGCTTGTATGGAATTAAATAAAATAAAAGTTATTTTTTTGATGCCTTCTGCTAAACTGTCAGCAGCAGAGTTGAGAGAGTGGAGGGGAAGAAGTATGGGCGTGTTTCTTTACATCGAGGCACAGATCACTGTAATTTGGAGTAACATAATGAGCACGACATCTACAAATAGCAAACAGGACAATATCTTTGATTGTTGCCAAGGACATCAGTTTGATCGCATCTTAATTTCAGGGAATTTGCGGAGCAAACGTAAAAACTAGAGAATAATTATGTCACACTGGAGGTCTGTTGTACTTTTGCAGCTTTTATGCTGTTCTCAATGGGGATAACTTATTCTATACAACAAAAGATGATACAGAAAGCCATTGAACTCATTGCATAGTGACATAAAACATCATCATGACAATATCATGAAAATAAAATAAAATGACAAAGACAACCCATGTGATGTTAGCATCTGGAACCTGCTATTGATGTAGCCATAGGTTAAACAGCTGTTGTGCCATTCCTCAGAGCACAACATTACATTTAGACACAAATGTAATGCATGTTTTTTTTCAGTCTGTATATCTACAAAGGGAACCAGTACATTAGTATGATACTGCGATGGTGTGTTTGTGTCTGTGTGTGTGTGTGTGTGTGTGTGTGCGCGTGTGTGTGTGAGTGACAATATATTTACAGAGAATTGTCTTCACATTATTCACAAATCCTTCTATAAAGCAGCATTTCATTGCAGTTAGTGGAATATTAGATCACTGAAGTTCTCCTTTCGCACTACAAATGCAGCATGATGTTCACCAGCTGAAATGCCATGACATACATGTTCAGTGTTGACTTATTTAAAAGATAATACTGCTTTATTTATGCATACATATACTGTAAATAAAATATTAAATATCAAACTAAGTCTTTGGCAAATGTAGTTAAGAGTACATTCACAAAATATTTTCCAAAACTTAAAATGAGTCAGTATTTCCTTTCAGCCCCTACGGAGAGTGGAACCTAACTTCGTGGAGGGTGGTGAGTCTGTGTTTTTAAAGGCAATTAATTTCAATTAACAGGCATGAATTTATGTTTTAAAAAAACTGGTCTGTAAGGCAATTGTTGAAGCTAATTTGCAGTCAGTTTGCACAACTGCACGCAGCTTTCTAAACTGTGTAGGCATCTATTGGCATGACTAAGTAGCTGAATGAGATACAGTTGAACTGAAAGGATTTGCTCATGTAGCCAAAGAGTTATGGCTTCATTTTTACTTGGAAAAAAGATGTTCATACGCAAACGGGTCTGTTAGCTTGTTAGCTTTGTGGTTTTCTAAGAATGCAACATATATATTTTCAACTTATGCTTATAAAATGGTTAATTGTAGGTGAATGTACCACAAAAAAAAGAGAAAAAAGCTGAGGTTATAGTGCAAAAAAAAAGAGAGCAAAGGATGACACTGCGCACGTACATGGACATGAGGGAAATGTGACAGCCGTTCTGAAAAATCGTTGTTTATATTAAAAAAAATGTAACAGAAAATATAATTTAAAGTATTTCAAATTCTGGCAAGACCATTTTAAGTTCACGGTCACCACATTGTTAATACTTTGCAAAATGATTTACATTTTTACATCTGATTGTTTGCCACGGGGAGCGCGATGTCGCCAGGGTCAGTAAACGCTGCAGGGCATGCTGTGTTCGTCTTATAATTTAAGTGTTATCAGAGAAATGGGAGCAGAAAAGTTCATCAAAGCACCAGAGTAAAGCCCGCTCTACATTATGGAGCCAGGATCTCGTTAATGGTCAGAGGGGCCCACAACACTGGTTTAATTCGCTACATTGTTACGCTATAGGACCACTGTCATCTCCCCCTGGACGTCTGTCTTCAGAGCAGAAAAATACTGCAGTTCATTACATAAAGGAATGTGACGATCCATGAATAAAATAACAACAACAACAACAACAACAGCAAAGAAACAAAAATTAAAAACCCACGACATTTTTTCCACATGGTTTTCTTCACACTGTTTTTCTTCAATTTATATGTTATAATATATATATTTATATAATCTCTTAAAGTCATTCTGGAAACGCTCAGGCCTGTGAGAGAATAAGGGCATGACAGGTGAGTTCTGAATGCCCCTGGGCCCTTTTGACCCAAAGTGTGTGTGAGACGCTGAAGCTGGGTGCATCTGCGTCGACCTCGGCCATCCTTCCTTCACAACGCACTTGCTGACGGGGGTTTCATTTAGGATTCCACCTCGCTTCCCTTTGACCTCAGTGTTTCTCAGACAGGGACAATATGGAGGCCGAAGCTCTGGCCCTGCAGTTTGAGCTGGTCTCTGGTGTAACTAGTGGCGGTCGTAGGCAGTGGCAGCAGTGGGAGGTGCGGAGCCACGGGATGCGGCACTATAATAATAAGGGGAACCTGAAAGTTAACAGAAGAACGAACCGTTGGAAACCACGAGGTCAAACATGATGTAAGACACGTGTGTAAAAGTTCTGAGGATGCGCTGAATATTCAGAGACTGACTTTTTAGGTTTTAAATAGGATTTAAATTTTAGAGCATGTTCAGCGTGACAGTTTTTTTAATGATGTCAGACACTTACTTAATAACGCTGGATTGCTGAACCGCCAGGCTTCGTTGTAAGTTGTGTATTGTGGATGAGAGTAGGGGTTGCCAGAAAAATCCCCTCCTAGGAAACAAAATGGTAAAAATACATATTCATAAGAAGCTAATAACCAGAAAAATTCAAAAGCCTACACTACAGTTACATTTGATTTTTTCCCACAACAATATTACTAACACATCTGTTCTCTGGACGTCTGTACAGCTTCTCCAGAGTCCCTTCAGGTGAGTTAATTGTTTTATTGCCTGCTCTGTTCTGTATGTAAGTTTGGACTTTTGTCCTGCTTGTAGGCAGTCACACTTTGCTTCAGACCCTCTCTCATTGTCCTCTCCCTGCAGGTTGTAGTGAGAAGCATGGGAGGGTGAGGGGATATCACAGAGCGATGCTGCAGGCCCACAGGTTTCTTTCTTTTATGGCACTATAAAGGCTGGGTTTTATATGAAGCTGCTGAAGAATGGCCTTTGCTTTAACGGTGTTTGGGGCCGGTCACTAAATCTTAGTTATTCGCCACTGGGTGAAAAAAAACACAAAAAACCCACAACCCCTGGATTAAGAAGGTTTTGCTGTGTTTTTCTACTTTTTGTGTCTATACACACTTTCCAGTTGTATAAAACACACATATTTTTTTATTTGATTTGAGATATGTGTTTTGACCTCTATCTATAGGCTAAAATCACGTGCTAATGCTACACGGCTGCTTTGATTGTTTGTCAGTGTTAGGCACATGTCACGCCGCAATAAAGGGAATTGTGTTTTGAGTTGTTTGGAGCACAGATCTACACATGCTGGCAGCATCTTCACCGCTGGTTGTGTAACTTAAGCTCATCCCTGAGAGAGATAGTGATTTAAATATTTACAGGCCCTCCACGCCTCTGTGTTTTGACCCTTAACTGTTTGCTGTGAACCTGAACTGCAGGTTAAGTAGAGGGGAAAGAGATACGCTCTGCAGCCCTGGGTGTCCGGGGAGGCGAGGAGAGGAGCAAAAGCAGTGTTTATCGATGGGGCTGGTGAGAGTGCGCTGTGTGGACACGGCGAGGGTAATGAGCGCTGGGAGCTGGAGTGTAACTGAGAGGAACTGTCCTATCTCACGGCCACTGATTGTGGTGATCGCCTATCGAGTTCATCTAATGTCCTCATCCACAGACGCTAACCACACGCTAACCGCAGTCTAACAAAGCTATAACAAGCTTGCTTCAATCCTTTGAGTCAAAAGCAATGATTTAAAGTGTCCTTGCTGTCTCAACAGTGAATTTATGTTTGATGTTTTTGGGGTTTTTTTTTGTAGGGTTAAGTGACCGTAAATTTTACAGTATCAACCTGACAGGTACTATGTGTTGCAAATATGTTAGAATTAACTATATCACCTACCGGGAACCATTCCAGCAAGTGTGGATGTGGGGTAGCTGCCTTGTCCTGTGGGGGGGACATGAGGTGGGTAGCCAGGTAAGGTGGTACTAGCCATATCTCGACCTGCAGACACACAGAAGGAGGATCTGTATCACAAGGATGGTCACGAGGAGAAAAGTTAAAAGTATATTCTACTTGAGAGAGTGGGTTTAAGCTGAAACCAGTCCAGGGTGTGTAGCACTCAGCTTGCTCTTTCCTGGATTAGAGGTTTTTTCCTGTAGTGAGTGCCTAATCACAAGAATAAAAAGCCACAAAAAAAAAAAGGCATGTGCTATGTCATAACCGAGCTGATGCAAACTAAAATTGTTCTGGAAGAAGAAAAAAAAAGTGCTACCAGTAAACATTACGGATAAGTTTCTGCATTGAGCAACAAGAAAGAGTTTTGTCATTAAATTGATGATAAAAGATGGAAACGAAAACCTTCCTTCGAAGCATATTGCTTTTGGAAACGTCTTGTACATAAACACAAAAATCACCAAAGTGAAGTGATGCATATAGCCACTGAGAATAACAAGCAGTGCCCCTGTCTGTCACAATGCATCGACTCATCCTGTTTCTTAGGCACGCTCACTTTGTAAAAGCAAAACCAGAGATTTTCCAAAAATGTTCAGAAATAATATGTAAAATATCTGCTGTCCAATTATATATATGTATATCTCTCCTGGGGTCACATATCAATATCATGACACTACAACAAAACATAGCATACTAGTGTCAAAAGCAGTGTTAGGAGCATCAGGCCAATGACAGCATCACGCTGGCCTCTGCTTTATATTCAGCCCTTTAATTAACCCTGACAGCAACCCAGCTAGATGAAGGGGCACACATGACTGGCAGCTATGGGTTTAAGGCGGGCCCCAGTATCAGCCTATATCTGCGCCTTTGAAACCCCCTGTTTTGGCCTCCTGTGGCCCCCTACACTTTGGCCCTGTCATGAGGCTTTAAGGACCAGAAAGTCTACTGTGACAGTGAGAGACGAGCAGGGGGTCAAATGCAGAGCAAAGCACGGAGGGAAAGGGTAGAGATCGTCTGCTTTTAATGAGAGCCAAACGTTCAACTTTGCTCCTGTGTACACAACTGCAAGGCCCAAAAAGAGCAACAGGGGAGGCATCCACTTTAATTTGTACATAACTGAGAACTGAGACTAAAAGTGAGCACAGAGTGAATAAAGAAATCATTTGAATTATTATCCGGCTACGGGGCCTTGTGGGAAAAGTTGTACCTGCTATAAAGGGCTGGCTGGCATACTGGCTGTAGCAGGAGCTGTGAGCATGGGCAAGGTAGCTGGGAGTAGATGCATCTACTGAGAGGCTGGACTGGTGGGGCAAGATGTCAGCTAGAGCAGAATCCCCAACAGAGGAGGGGGTGAAGGGGGCAAAGGATGCCTCATGGGGCTCTCGCTTTACACACATGGAAGGTGGATATGACGGGTGAGAGTCTGGCAGTTGGGGGGGGAAAAAGAAAAAGAAAAAGAAAAAAAATTGATACAATGCAGACATACAACTCCACACAATCTGTACATACGTTTATGTCAGTCACTCACAAGTATGGTGAGATGGATTTATAGCTGTGTAGATGTCCAAACTCAAGTGTAGACGGGTAACAGCAAAAAGCCAAAAAATTAGATCTGTCGCTGACATAGACGCTCGTAATTAAAGAAAGAGGGGACTACAAATCCCTATCCGATTTAACGTATTAATTAAAGGGAGCCCAAAGAATTAGGAGCAATACATTAACTTGCTATCTTTTAAGAACTCACAAGCAGACATTTTATATGAATACTGAATAGATAAGCAGTCTTTACCACTTGATTTGTTCATTTACATGGCTTATAATAATAATCTCATATGCACCTAGCGGTAATTCATTCAACTAAGTGGAAACGTACACCAGTGAAATGTTGCAACAACACATCGCGCCTGATCAATCAAGCTCAAATGCGTAAAAAATTTCCCCAAGGTTTTGGGAAAACAAACAACATAATCTCACGGCTGCTTTCTCACAACAAAATCACTCCCACAAATAACCAAGCAGCCGGCTTGTAGACAGTTCAAAACTCTGCACTTTGATCTAATTTGGCTGATGAGTCTTGGCATCTTTCATTTCAGCGTCTCTGCCTCTCGAACCTGTGCAATCAATGTGAGCTCTGTTTCTGGCCTCTCCGTACCCACTGCAAGCCTGTTGTGTTTTTTCGGGGGCCTGCAGGGAGAGATGGCTCTTTCCCGACACCATGATAGCCTCATTAGCTGCTTCTCCCATCATTGTTGTTTTACAACAGGACTGTGTGTTGCGATTCCTCATTAAGATAAGGGCTGCTCAATGGAAGGGGAGTGCAAAAATGTCAACCATAAGAACCTAATTCCAGAGAAACAGGCAATGTTGCTCACTACTTTTCCGTAGGAGCAGAAAAATAAAATTGTAGGCTCTCCTAACGTTATTCTCCTTCTTTGTCTTGGTGATAGCTAAAAATGTGGATTTAGACAGAAGTACTGCAATTAGAGTGAATCTTTTCTTAGAAAAATGACAACACAATGGGGAAAAGACACAGTGTGAACAATGTACAATCTTTTCTAACATATGATCAGATCATTAAAAGGAACGTTTGCCCCGAATCTTTGGCATGAACAGAAGTATTCTAATGAGTGGGCTTTCCATTTAATTGGATGGACCAAAATGTTGTCACATGTACTGCACAAGTATGTCATAAGTTATATTGGAAAACTGGGTCTACATTTAGGAATGACGGCAAATCCCTTGTGCTTAGTTCTGCTCTTCAGTTAATTATAGCCAACATGTAGTCTGTTAAAGCCTTTGAAGTTCAAACAGCTCTCAAAAGTCCAGTTACAAGAAAAAAATACTGCAGAGGACAATGCTAGCAGCTAGCTTGTTTCAGAAACACAGCAAAGCATCATATTCCACCTGCACCTGAGCCATGAAATCACGATGACATCAAGTGTAAACCCATGAACCAAACACAAATCTCCACTAGAGAGAGCCCGCAGTGTAAAACAGCTTTATGACAGTCAGATTTTTAAAAAAGAAAATAATTTGATTCTCTTTGTCTTTATTGTGTGTTGCGGTTTAAAAAAATGAACCAACTGTGCAGCAGTGGATTCAGAGGGCTTTTTTATGTGCACCTTGCTCATGCGCGCTATTATTAGAAACACCCCGTTGCCAGGTTATTTTCTTCACTGGTAACAGTTTATAATTGGGGTACAAAGTACGTTACGTTAAAGAAACACTAATGACGAGTTAATACATCTGGATGTACCGTAAATTCCTGCAACTCACCGACTACGGCTTCAGTTAATTTTTAATAGATCACCAATCAAGGGGTGGTTACTCAAAATTATCCACCAAACTGTATCGATTTCAGGTACATTTGGCTTTATTTACCTTCATTTAGGACTTAAGTGCCACAAGGCATCAAAAACCGAGACTAAACCCTGTCCTGTCTGCCAGCCTTTGGAATCTGAATGTGATGTTGTGCCAAACAATATTTCTGAAAAGTCTAACTGTGAATTCATGATATATCCTGTATTAATTCAAGCGTGAAATCATCAAGGGAGTAACATTAGTTAAGTATGGTTTGCGCTCTTACTCTATGCATGCTGGGACTTTAATTTTGCGAATGAGGATGTCTAACATGAAGTCAAGGTCAAGCCTGTTTACACTGAATCTGAGACTTCCTCCACACTACTGTAGGCTTCCGTGTTCTCAGCGCCCGAGCAACCGTTGTCAAACAGACAGGGGTTACAACGCAACAACAACCGATACAAATGCTGCGTTCAAGACCACTGAACTCTGAAACTAATCAGACATGGTGTTGCTTATTGTCCTGGAGACAAGGCAGCGCCTGGGTAAAGGGAGCCTGTCAAATCGAAGGCCCTGATGATGGAGATGGAAGATAAACTCAGGGTCCTTGGGGACTTTTCTCCTCAGCAAACACATCTTTGAATGAGCGGAGATGGTATAGAGTTCTCCAATAGCTGTCTCTGCTCCACCACTGATACTACATCGAGACCCCATCAACCATAGAAATGGACTGTTAAGAACCTACAGCAATCCTCCGAGTGATGCTTCCAGATATAGCTACAAAAGGCTTCTCTCAAGTGAGCATTTCATTTTTAAACGTGCACCGAGGAACTTTGCTGCACAAACCATTTACTGGGAGAACTCTTGTTTAGAAAGGCTGACATTCAATCTACAGAGAACTTTTTCATGCACGCAAAACTTCCTTTCTGTGCTGACAGACAATAAAATTCAAATTTTACCCAGACAGGGACACATTCATGTTTGTATCGCAGCATTTCAGCCTCTGGATTTGCTTTCTTCCATTCAAGCTTTGGTAATTTACAACTACTTACACTAAAAACCCCCCCCCAAAAAACCAAAACAGAAGAACATTTGTAAAAGGTGGAAACTGTGGAAAAACAAATGCAGGCAAAAATAGGTTCAATTCCCCATTTAGAGGTTTAAAGTGATTCATTATCAAATGTGTGCTCAAAGGTTAGCGTGCTAGCGACGGGGTGATATAAACATTAATTTCCAGTCTTGGGGCTGCAGGCGTTAACTGAGCTGAGAAGAGCCATTTGTCACCAGGCCACACAGCAGGCATTGCAAGTTAGGTGGCTGCTTGTTGTTTGCCACCCAGCAGAGAAAAGCTCGTACTGCCAACTCATAAAAACAGCTTCAGATTCTGATTTGTATTTCAGCAGAAATTAACCTGAAAGAAGGCACTCGGCACTTTATATGTTTTTGTGCATAAAGTGAGAAATATATAGATAAATAAGTAAAAAAGAAATTGAAAAAGCAACAGCGTTTCACACCTGCTAGATTTGTTGTAGCCAGAGTGGAGCCACTTTACACCTGCCAATCCCACAGGCTCTGTTGGCCCAGCCTGCACAGAGACCGCTGCACGTGTCTGAATGTAAGTTTCTGACTTTCTTTGAGCATCAATAGAAAACTGCAGGTACACAAATGATGGATTGGAGCCAAACACTAGAGCTGAATCATGATAAGGATAAGGTGATAAGGAAATACAGTACATGTTCAAAAATAGTGAATATGCAGTGTAGCCACAGCTGTATAAAACTAAGCACCTAGCTATGCAGAGTTGACTGGGTCCTAAATAGCTCGCTCAATTTGAGCATGGTACTGTAATGGGATCCGATTATTAGCTGTAAGTGGTATTATTGCAAATTGGAAGCATTGAGAAACACAGAAACTTAGCTACAAACTGCTAGAATAGACCACGTGAACTTACAGGTCGGGGTCCATGAGTTATGAGCTGACTAGTGTGTGAAAGTTTGCCAAAGATCTGCTGACTCAGTGACTGCAGATCTCCGAGCCTCCTGTGGCATTAACATCAGTACAAAAACTGTGCTCCAGGAGTTTCATGGCCAAGCAGCTCCTACAGATGCAACGTCTAGGTGGCTCAGTACTTTTTTCTATATAGTGTGTATAAAATCATTCATTTAAATGTGATATCTTTTGTAATTTTAGCAGTAGCTACATTCAATGCATTTTTAAAGCAATCCAAAAGACTTTTAAGAATAATTTCTTATGATTTTTTATCTACATATATAAAATGATATATAGATATATGTAAAATAATTTTTTTTTTAAGTAATATTTGTTGCATCTTAGTAAGTGGTGCAAAAAAGTGCGATCAATCTCTCCCTATTTTTGTTGCCTCCAAGGTAACCTTCTCTTTCACACATTCGGGACACAAAAGATGGCCGACCGTGCTTTCGTTATAGCGCTCCTGTAATGCAAAGCTGAGCACTTCATTAATCATTCATCTTTAATAGATTATGCAAATTTCAGGACATAAAAATCAACAAGATCAATAACTGTATGAATTTTAATTGGGAGCAGAAAACATTTAAAGAATGAATATAATCTCATAGCTCCATCCAGTATGAGAGCATAATTTATTGATAATTGGATCCCAGCCTAAGTGAGGAAGGTAATTTAGCATTTTTTCAGCCTTGGCATACATTCCTATTTACAGGGTTTGCTAATGGAAGGAAAAATAATATTATGCACTAACAACCTACACACAATCAAATGCCTCATGCATTACTTTGCATAGTTGTGAAAATTGGGTAATAAAAGTTTACAGGATATTACTTCTGAGTTTAATTTGGTGCTCAATATATTCAAAACACATCTTTAAAATGGCTGTACCAAAACATGTTGTCATATATCACTTTCAGAAAAGTTTTGCTAGTTCATTCCCTCTTTACTCTGGGCAAAACCCTTGCATGTATCGCTTTAGGAGGCCCCCCAGGCCCCCAGGTGGCTTGGAGGCCACCTGCTATGAGTGTGCTCACCAGAGCAAAACCACTTTCATAGGAGGAGCCCGCCATAAAAGGGAAAAACACACCTTTCTTCTCCTGAGGCCCGACTTTCTGGGGCAAAGCTACCTCCCACATGTTCAGGAATAAAAAGGGGTTCTTTCTTTTCCCATAGCTCTGTGCCTGAGTGTGTGGCTGAACTATTGGGATCATATGAAAAGGCCGCTGTAGTTTTCAAACTTCCTCTTCTTTACTTAGACTCTCTCTCTCTCTCTCTCTCTCTCTCTCTCACACACACACACACGCACACATGCACAGACACACAAAGTACACTCCTTGACTCTGATTCCCACTGCATAATTATGAGCCTTTTATTAAAAGGCTCATAATTATTCTCGAGCCAGTGTGGCCATCAGTAAACCTAACCTCCCTTGGGAAACACCCTCAACAGCAACAACGACACAATATTTCAATTAACCAGATGTCCATCAACCTGGACAGCAAAGCAACCACAGACTCGGTCCAACACAGGGGATGTTTGATACAGACAATGCAAGATAGTTAACACATTGCACCTGCAATTACCTGTTGACTCTCAGTGCAAACGATTTGGCAAAAAAAATGCCCCTTTCTCTCTCTATATTTCTCTCTCTCTTTCTCTCTCTCCACAGCATAAGGCAGCCAGCCAGTCACAGTGCTATTCCAGCCGCTGTCAATCAACAGGCTATGATAGTGTTTGATGACAACGTCATGTCGTGGCGAGAACAGCAGCTGTCTCTTATGAGAAGTGCTCCCAGTCAATCTGTTAGCGGGCCAATCCAGGCTAACACAATGGCCAGTTAGGAGCGTTGCGTGAAAGACCTGTGGGATTTAATGAACTCAGATGATATATTACCTCAGCCCGTCCCTTAGAAATACACAGAGCACCCCAAAAAGTGCCTTGAAAGAGCTTTATGTAAAAAAAAAAAAAAGATATTGGTGATAACTTTATATGGCTGGAAAAATGTGCACGCCATCAGGGAGTGGCAATCAAAATCTTAATGATTCAGTGATGATGTAGAAGTTTAGATAAGAGCGAGATGTCTTTTTAAAGTAGGAACCCTAAAAAAATGATCAGTAAACTGATGGTAAAATGACAGTTTGGTGGTATTTAAAAAAAACAATTAGAACTGGTTAACCTGGGAAACTTTTTCAAGAGTTTGGCATCATAAAGAACGCACAGTTCGACCATCTTGGTGCCGGTGTATTTTGTTGCTGCACTGTGTGTATTCTGTTAGGCGTCAGTGTAGCATGAGTCAGATTGTACCTGTCACAACAGAGTAGCTCTGGGAGACGCTAGAGGCGAGGTCAGAGCTGGCACTGGTGGAGAGGCTCGGCTTCACATCTTCCAGGCCAGTGTTCAGGGACGGGAGAGTGTACTCATTCGCCTGTAGACGAAAAAAAAAAAACCCATGTGTGAGCAGGTGGGAATCGAAGACAGCAATTCACACTGCTTTAATTAAATTTTACATTCCACCAGATCAGGTCATGATCTGGTTAAAATCGCTCTTGGATTTAGATCAGATTTCCTAGTTTAGGTGACGACATATAAAAAACAATGTCACGATGAACGCCCCTCTCGTGTTTGCTGCTTTACATTGCCTGTGAATTCTGCGAACATCACCCCTGCCCCTGCTCCTTGTGCTTTACCAAGACCTATGATGATGTATGCATGCATTAGAGCTTGTCTGAGGGCAAGGCAGAAAGGGAGAGAGGGATGAGAGAGGGATTGGGAGAGGAGTGAAAGGACGGGGTGTCAGCTGGCTCTTTGTGCTCCACTGCAGTCATCCCTGTGACCAGTCAAGGGAGGAGACATTCAGGGCTTTGTTACAGGAGAGACATGTGGTGTGTTTTTTTTAAAGGCGAGTACAACCTCAAAAACAGCCCTTTGTGCTTTGCCTCCAGGATGAACACATAAAACTGGGTTAATAAAATGTTAAAATTGTGAATTTTCACTTTATGAGTTTTTCTACTTTTACTTGTATTTTTTAAAACGTCACATTGGAGGCTTTCGTCGCATTCCTGTTCCACTCTTATAAAATACTCTGTGCCACTCTGGCCGTCTTTCTTTTTTATTTATTTATTTTATTTTAACAGATTCACATTCACAGTTTACTGCAGAAGAAAACTTCAACCACCATCCAGTGTCTTAAATATTTATTAACCTTAATCTCGTGTTAAGACTCTGCTAGCAGTTGTGATGAATCCTGTTTGTTAATGAGATGACACTTCCTGACACAACTTTTCTTTGAAAGGATAAGTGTGTGTGTGAGAGTGTCTGTGAGTGTTTATTTGAAAGAGTGTGTGTGTGTGTGTGTGCGTGCATCTGTTTCTCTCAATGGGTTGGGGTCCCACAGGGGCAAGCTGGTGACCCCAGTCTTGTCTGCCTCTATCCCAGATAAACTCTAATTGTGTGCTTACAACTGTTCCCTGGCACTAGGCTGGATGTTCCTCTCTATTCCACTGGGCCTCAGCAGCACAAGAGTCATTTTGTCATGCAGATGGGATGCGGGTAGGGCCGGGCAGGGCTGGGCGGAGGGCGAGTGGCAAGCGCAGAGGGGCCTGAATGACCTGACCACATGGCTGCCAGAAGTGTGGGAGGGATGAGGCCTATTCAGCCTGGCCTCTTCAAAATGGCTTTTTAATGCCCTGACGCAGACACCAGACAAGCCCCTAATAGCCTAATATCCCACCTTTTCACCAGTTTAAGAAAAGGAGGGGGTTCTGGAAACAGGGAGAAAAAAGAAAGAGTGGAAAGCCATCTGATTAATATTACATTAAATTAAAACTGATTTTTCTGGACCATTCTGACGCCGTTTTTCTCCCCCCTCTGCTACCCCCCTCTCGCCTTTTTAATACCTTCTCCTCCACTCTTTGTGATTGCAAGTCATTTCCAATTCGTTTTGGTATTGATCTTGCCGTAGAAATCACTTTGGTAATTAGCTGCATTAGGGGCTGTATAGCCAGCTGAGGGGCTGTCCCTCTGATTTATCGCCGCTGTAATTCCCCACGATCGCGGAGAGATGAAAATGAACTCAATTAGGGCACTGCTAAGGCTGCATGGGCACCCACATAGAGCTCCAATGGAAAAATTAATAGTCTCTTGTTGTTTAACAGTCTAATGAATGTAAATAAAGGTTATCCGCTGTTATACGCTGTGGGTTTGCAGGTTGCTTCAAGCAAGAATTTGCACTGAGCTTTTTGTCACCTGTGTCAGAGCGTTCGCGGGTTCACTACAGCTTGTTAGAAATCAGTGTAAATGCTGTAAATCTTATTGTGTAGGGAGAAATGTGTGTGTGTATGTCGAACCTGCTCGGGTTTAATGTGTTCTGAGGTGGGGAAGACATCAGGATAAGAAGGCCTTTCAAACACACGGTCGAGGGCCTCCAGCTGCTGCTGGGTGAAGGCATCCGCCCGCAGGTGCTTTCTTAAACTTTCCACACTGCCCTGAGAGTCGCTGCCGGGGCCCGAACCATCAGAGCCATCTAAAGAAAGGAAGAGATGAAAAAAAGGGAAGGGACGAGGGGGGCAACACTGGTATGAGGATGTGGATCCAGTCTTTTTACTTCATACTTTACTTCTAGCAGGCTAGCATTACGAGGAAAAAAACAAACAAAAAAATATTAGAGCTCAGCGGGTGTGATAGTGATGGCATGAGGCGCAATAGCAAATTCAGGGAAACCCACCATCATGTCTGGCTTTTATCTCCCCCTGTTTTTTCCTGTCTCTCTCTTACTCTCTCGCTCTTTCCTTCTCTCACACATACACTCACTCAAACAATCCTCTACCTCCCCCCTGCCACTCCTTGCAGCCACCATCAGCATGGTCATCATGTGATAGGTCCATGGTAATTGATGGATTACCGTCAGTGCAAATATATACTTGTAAGGCAGACCGTGTGCTTCAGGAAGAGAAAGTAGGGCTGGCGATTACATCCAGAGCCTCTCATTCTGCCGGCGGGAAATGGAGAGCCATTATTTAACTGTACTATTTCTTCCTGAACATATTACCCTTCCCTCTCTCTGTCTCTCTTCCTTCTCTTTCCATCCCCCACATATTACCTGTCCTGTGGAAAACAGAATGGAGTGGGGATGGGACTCAGGGCCGAATGAGGACGGGGTGTCTGGGGGCAATCATATGCATTTCCTCACTTGGTCACACTCTATATAAACAAATGAGCCTGTGCTTCCCTCGTTCTTCTGATCTCTGACCCTATCAACTCGGCCAGGGAGTCCACTGCCGCGGCTGCAGCTCTCCCTCTGCTCACTCATCATGTCCTGAGCACTGAATGAAAAAAAAAAAAAAGATCTAAAGCTAAAACCTCCAGCCAGCATTCCCCTCCACTCTCCTGGCTGCCTCCCACCACCCTCCCCTTCCTCCCTATACTGCGCCACCAACAGCGGATGAGGGCTTTAGCTCCCGTACAAATCTGTCATTCTAAATTTGCAGCAGATTATGTTCTCTCCTGGGCGAGCCAGCGGTGATATATGATATGCAAGGCCGCTATTGATTGCCTGATCCGCTAGCAGAGGAGGGAGGCGAAATGAACTTGGAATGAACATCATGCCTCAACTCATTGTGCGTATAATACTCTACTTAATCCCACATTTTTCTGTGCTATGGAATTCAATTGATCAATCATGTTCCACTGATGGTACCATTTCAGGGGCGTTATTGCCATTCTGCTCGGCTGCTTGACCTTTTCTCAATGGCTGAGGCCAGAGGATGAACCCGATTCGCACCAAGAAATAGATCCATGGAGAGAATGGAATAGAGGACTGCAATTGGGTATGAGTGTGTGTTATGTGTAGATGGGAGAGAGCGTATGTGTGTGTGTGTTTCACTGCTAAAATATATTGACTTTTGCTTTGTGTAACATTTATGAAGGAATCTGATTTTTCTCCTGCCACATGTGTTTTCTTACCATGAGTTAACAGAATATTTTAGCCCTGGCTTTTTCTATCTTTTCTTTTTTTTCAAACAGCTCCCTTGGGTGTTGCGTTGGAGGAACAGTAGTTTTGCTGTATGAAACCCAATTGCTGTGTGTGGTACAGAAGAAAATGGAGTCATTAATTACCTCACATCAGCTGGTCTGAGAAAAGAGGCTTGATCAATAGCAAGTGCTTGTCATTCACTATGTGGAGCCTGTTTATACTCAGCATCACCTTATACACTCAGGCCCTCTGAACGGGCAGCGAAAGGACATAAATTCCTCTCATAAGATACTTTTTTGTGTTCTCTGGAAACTTACTTAACACAAGACTGATAATTTGCAACTAAAATGCAGGATGTCAACACTTTCCTCCATGGATGCTTGCTATGAGTAACGATTATTCCTCTTTTCTGAACTGAGCAGTTTCTGTCATTTTTAAGGTCAGTGAGGGTGATATCTGCATGTACCTATTCTAATACTGAGGTGTCGAAACTCATCATTAAGGGTGAGGTCATCTTTATGGGGGAAAGAGTTAAAGCTTTTCTTATACAAGTAACCTTGTAAAATTTCTAATGATAGAGACTTTGTCAGTTTTGTAATTGTGAAAATATGCGAGTATCTTTCAAATTTATGTGTTAAAAAATTGACTGAATTGGTTTTTTAAAAGCAGCAAATCATTTATTTTCAGTATTCGGCATTAGAGATTCACGTCTGCTATATATCATAAGAGAGCTGCATTAAATCAGATTCATCCTTTTGACAGTCAGTGTGTCAAGTGGAGTGTGAAGCACGACTGTCAGACTGCACGCATGTGTGTGTGTGTGTGTGTGTGTGTTTGTCTCATTGACTGGTTTGTTTCTTTTTCTTAGTGTTTCTTCAACCCCTTTGGGTGTCTCAGCAGGTATTCTCTTATCACTCCCACAGCAGCGTCTGACTGCGTCTCTTTGTTTTAACACAAAAGTGTGAGGAGACAAACAGAGATAAAAACAAGAATCTGCTAAGGTGACATTCCCACATAAAATTTTTGTTTTGTTTTGATCAGCTTAAACAGGTGCTGTTCGACCTTGTTGTGTTGAAAAATGTGCTTTTTTTTATCATTATGTATTCAGAGATTTTAAACCTAAAAGTTATTGTAGGCTTTCATCAGACCACTCATATGTGCTACTCTTGTCCACACACACACACACACACACACACACACACACACACACACACACACACACACACACACACACACACACACACACACACTTTCCCAGTAACAGTAGCTATTGTGAAAAAGACCTCAGCTGTATCTGTCGTGTTTTGGGGGATGTTAAGGTCCTGTGATGGTGTGGTGGCACTAATGTCCCTCTTTCATCTCTCCTGTTTATATGATAAGATAACTCAGAGAAAAGTAGAGGTGGAGGCTTGTTTGAAAGGCAAATGAATTCCTACGCACTGGCTCGCTCTCTCCGTAAATCAATGACATGCAGTCCCTCAGATCAGAGGCTGCTTTACTTACTCGGCCTCTGTTGATAGGTGGAATGATGCTATTGCAAATTGTGGATCATTTATTGATGGGGGGTTTTTTTGAGAAAAAAAATGCTGTTGAGCTTGGGAAGAGAGAGAGAGAGAGAGAGAGAGAGAGAGAGAGAGAGAGAGAGAGAGAGAGAGAGAGAGAGAGAGAGAGAGCGCAAACAAACTGGTATACCCAGAGGGTGAACACTCCTTCCCTGTAAGCTAGCTATATTTATGAAAGCTCTGAAGCGGAAAGGAGAGAGGTGGGTGGGGTGGGGGAGAAAGAGGGAGAGAAGCAGCAACACTGCCATGGCTGTTAAGATCCTGTTATGTTGTGGCATGTTTAAGAGCTTTATTAATTCGATTTAGCACCCCAACCAGTGTACTGACTGTCAGCAGGCACAGTGATGCTTGTTTGATATTTGCTCTCACTGCTTCCACCGCGGCTGCATTGACAGGATTTCGCAGATCTCCACTTTATTTTATTTGTTTTATTTACTAGATTTGACAGAAAGTTTATAATAAATAAATAAAACCACTTAAATGTATATTCTGGAATATTAATAAGATCTGGTGGCAGTTATTTAGCCTTTGAATGCAGGGTTAGTGGTTCTTTGAGCAAGACACTGTATTGGTCAGATTTGAGGGGAAAATATTTGACTTGGACAAATCTGTCAAAAACTGCAAAAGAAATTCAAAGGAATATTCATACGTCTAAATATGTGAAATTCTTTTTCCTATTTGCCACAGAGTCTCTCTCACTGTTTTATGCCCATCTTGTATTTTTCTTTGTCCTCCTCTGCTTTCAGTCTGCCGTTTAACACAGCCGCCCTGTGTGGTGAGTATTTGTAGAAATGCAATTAACGTATCCCTACTTTTCTCGTGCCGTTTCTCCCTCCTCAAGCTGAGTAATGCATCGCTCCATTAATTCTCTGCATTGCTGCCCATAATTGACTTTTCTCTGACATGATTCCTCTCCACTGAGTGAATTTCCTCTCTTTAATTTTTTTTTTGTGACGGCTCTCATTGTATGTTGTTTACAACTGTAAGCTGGAGCTCGCACAGCCACGTTACTAAACCACAAGACTCAGGAAGAAGAAGAACAAGGAGACGACGAGAGGAGGAAAGAAATCTTGAAGAGAAAGACAGCAATAGATCACAGAAGGAGGAGGGGGAGGAATGCAGTGTGGACCCTTTTGTGCCTCTTCTACTGTCAGGGCCCTAACAGCCTCTTGTCTCTATGTTACGCTCTGTGGCCCCTCTCAAACCTGGGCTTTTCTCTCTCGCACACACACCCCATCAGGGCCATCATGGTGCTCATGATTCCATTTTTCTGTCTTGCTCTGGATGCATTTATTTTCTAAAGTGATCCTCTATTGACTCATTGTCATGGAGTGACTTGACTAGTCAACCAGTGTAGGCCCAGGTTTAAATCCATACAGTAACTGATATAAACTCCACAAATGGGTCACGTGTGTTAAAAGATACATTGTGGACAATCTCCAAAAGGGCCAAATATCAAATGTGAACAAATCAAAACAGTGACTGTATTCATTTTTTTTCGCTCAAGCTATTGAGCAAGGTTGATATGATTCCGGCTGCTGCCGATGATCATGGTTTTATGTCATGAATGAGCAACCTGCTAGGCCGTATTTTTTTCCCTCCCCACTCACACACTCATCAGCTCCTTCTACACTTATCCCACACCCACGCTACAATCACAAGTTATGACCTTTGCTTTCTCTATCTAATTTATCACCGTGGCTCCCTACTGCCTGTCCTCCCCAGAGCTCCACCGGGCTCTGCACAGGACTTGGAGAGCCAGCGATGAGAAAAACATATAGTTAGGTCACATCAACCTGACTGCAAACAAGCAACAAGGTCAGCAGTAACCTGTCAGTATATACTAAGACTAAGAAAACACTAAGCTGCAGCTCTAATAAAAACATGTTTCGATGTACAAAGAGAACAAGTTATAGCATGCAAGTATGTGACATATTAATTAGCTCAAAATAGTCTGCGAGAAATTACCGCAGGCCTCAAACCTTGCAAACGACTGCATGGACTTATAGCGCTGTAATACACATTTTACAATCACACAGAAGTTGTCACCCAATCCTCTCTGTCTTTTCTTGGCTTCCAACTCCACCATAGGTTTAAATGACTTGGTGAGAGCAGGCTGTACAACAAGCTAATTTCCCCACTTCACTATTAATGCATTTGGCAGGAACAACATTCCATTTCCTGTAATGAGATACACAAATAAATCTGGCTATGGATAGATTCGGGGTGGGGTGGTGGTAGTAGTGGTGGTGGGAGGAGGGAGTGGGGGGAGCGGTGGGGCAAAGGAGAGGGGCGCATTGAGACGCATTCTCCCAGCACTGGCATAATTGGTATCGCTGCTTGCAGACATGCAAACCAATCTCTCCACAGATAGGACTGAGACTCTCTCTTTTCCCCCCTTAAGGCTATTTCTTTTGTCTTTTCGATAGCATGCACATCCAAGATAGAGGGAGGGAGGAAGGGAGGGAGGGAGAGATGTTAATTTGTGAATTAATAGCTTTTCTCTGCAGAATTGCAAATTCTTTTTAAATGTCACTATGTTCACTATGTGAAGAGCATCGGAAGCCACGAAGTTACGCACAAACACATAAAAGACACATTTCCGTGCATAGGTGTGTTCGCAGGCATGCACAGATCCTAAAATTAATCCTTGCTCAATTCTCATTGAGGCTGCCTGGACCTCCTCGTTCCCTCCTTCCCTCATAAACCCACTTTTTTCCGACAAATTCCCCTGCTCCTCTTGTCGCTCCTCCTCCCATCTTCACTCAAAGCCGTCCAGTGTAACATGCTACTTTTAATTTGCAATAACACATGACAAGGACAGATTAATAGCTCTTATGGCACCTATGTCCCTGAAGCTCGTCTTACGGGGACCTGGTGTACATAACGCGTGTCACACTACATTATCTCTACAGCCCTGCAGTAATGGGGACCTTTTTCTTCCTAAAAGGCCAACCACTGACTTCAACCACAGCAGGATCACCAGCAACCACCATCAGCACAAAAAGTGTGAAATGGTTTTTCATTTAGCACGGTCAGATTATCACAACGTAGGCACAAGCATTAAAGGAATTACTAGTATACAGACGTGCAAAGTCCAGTCAGTTATTTGTAGATTTAAAAATCAAACACTTTCCTGCACTGATCTCCTTTTGTTTCTAATCTTGCTTAACTTTTCCCCCCAAATTAATTATATTTTTACAACAGACAAAGAAGCATGTTAACATTTTAGCTTTAACAAAATGGATATTTTCTGCTGTATAGGTGTGCCTATTTATTTTTGGTAATAAAAAAAGACGCTATAATTCTAAAATATGAGGGGTTAATAATTAAATGGAATTACTTAATTAAATATCCAAATACAAAAAAAAAACCTGCACTGGAACTTTTATATCACAAGTCAGTTTGAATAGAAATGACAAAAATAGAGTCGTTAGCAAATATGCATTTGTTTTTTTGCAATAAACTGCATTGTGTTTATGACAATCTATGGAAAACGTGATTTTCTAGTCTATTTAGCTTTATTTGTTTTCATTACTAGGGAGATAATCTGTGTGAAAAAGTCTTCCCCGCCACACCACACCTCATAAGCTCATTACCCTGGAAGAGCAAATAGAGTGCGTGAGAGTATTGTGATCTGTTTGACCAAAGCAAAAGAGAAGGTTGTCTAACTTAAACTTACAATGTCCTATTTTCCTCCCATCCAAGTGGTTGCCACTCCAGAGAACTAAAGAGACAGAAACATAAAAGAAGGAAGTGGCCTGTTTTGATAAGTGCTCTTTGAGATCATTTTCAACATCCCATCAGCCACCTCAAAGCACAGAATCACACTTGTACACATACACACAAGCACAAACACACACTCACACACACTCACAAACACACACAGCCCCTTCCCTGCCTCCACCGGTCTGTTCCTACACCTGTTCAAGCCTCCACCAGGGACATGTTAATTCATAGGCATTAAAAAAGCCAATTGTTTGCACAACCGATAATCTATTAGCCCTCAGGCAGTGTGTGTGTGTGTCCACTCTCTAGCTTTACCTCGGAATGAGAAATTCTGGCTTGGACTGGATAGGCTTTCACTTAATCTTTGGGTGTATATAGATCTATTCGCTGCCTGCCCCCTGCTAGTAAAAAATATTTTGGGATGTTTTAATATACTTAAAATTATTTGAATCATCGTGGAAAAATATAATTAAAATCATAATCAAATCAATCAATCCTTATCTTTTAAAAAAAATATAGTCCATAATGATAAATCATGACTTATCTGACAGGATCAAAGCAGGAAATTTCAAAAGAGCTACTTTTTCTGCTGTTTGTTACTTTACTGGAATAAAAGCACGGAGTAGCAGCGTTGATGCCTTTTCCGAAGGGCTTTAGAGTTGTATGACAGCTGTATGGGATATCTACAATACATCTGAGCGTGGTATAAAATTGAGATACAGCTCTGTAGGCGTATGGTAGAACGTAGGGCATCGAAAAGCTGATTGAATCACAGCACTCTCGCAACTCTCATCCCGCCTTATATACAGCATAACAAGTCACTGGAGACAGCACACAAAAACACACTTGGCTGCAGCGCTGTCATAAATGCCATCTTCTTCACACACAGGAAAAAAGTAGGAGATGAGTGATGAAAAGAATTAAAAGGATGGCAAACAAAGGGATCTTATGTCTCCCTTACCATCGTCTCGTTTCCTCTTCTCACCATTGGAGCGGGGGATACCCAGAATGCCGTTGATGGAGTAGGATCCTACGGGATTGTTGGAGGCACTGGTCACAGGAGGGGAGGCTGTGCTGGGCACTGACGGAGAAAGCAGAGTTAGAGTGCGCATGCAGTACTGTGTGTGTTTGTGTGTCTCTTCAGGTTAACGTGGGTTAATATGTGTTCATGTGTAGGTATTTTTTTCCGTTTCTTATTCTTTCTGCAGCCCCGATTTGCTCGTTTGATTGGCCTGTGTAGCCGTATTGATGCTCACCTATGGTATGGCCGGGCGTGGAGAGTGGTGTAACAGATCCATCAGGGGATGGGTGGAATTGCTGCTGGACTTTGGTGCGGATAATCCTGGTAAGGGGAACAACACACACGGATCAATCAATAGTGCTTTCAGAGAATTGAGATTTTACACCGTACCGGTCCGCCACAGGACACTTAAACATGACACATCACGTCCACTTACATCTGTGCATGTACAAGTGCTCCATCGTTTGGGGCACTTGTATCCTCATATTCAGGCCCCTGTCACCAATAGCCAATCTCGGGGCTTTAGGAGCAATCTCTCGTCTCCTGTGCAAGACTGAATGGGGGCTGCCCCCTGAGACTCTGGATTCAATCTAGCTGGATTTTGAGGTTAGAAATATGATAAAGTCCCTATAGCAGTAAGATGTGATGTGGCGGGAAAGTCTTCATTGCACTTTGGTCTGAATGATCTTGCAAACAAAGCATGAAATCACATCAATTCACCTCAATGATCAGCTTCACTGGCTCTACCTGGCCAACTCTAATAATCTGCCTCTCCTGCTCCCCACTCCCTTTTTTCTCCTTGCTCTCCTCTCTCTCTCCATCTCTCAAAGCTGATCTTTCACTCCCACTCTCATCCTCTTTTCTCATTTCAACTCTCTTTACTGTCCAGTGTCCTATCAGCTTTACTGTACTTTGCAATAGCTGCCTTTCAAACCTCCATCTCTTACTTTTCTTTCTTTCTTTCTTTACTCGTAGCCGATTTATTTCTGTATTTCTCACTTTTTTTTGCCCTTTTTCACTCGACGAGTGTAGCACGCAGGAATCCCCCGGGCTGACCGAGGATCAGACCTTATTGATTGGAACTCCCAGATAGAAAAACTGACAACGAATGGCAGAGAGGAACAGCAAATGCAAATTGTGAACCATACATTATTTGTGAAAGGAAACCAATAGCATCTTATTTGCTGAAGCTGAGACTGCTGTCACCTCCGGTGCAGATTAATCTGTTGTACACTTAATAAGTAAATAAAAAAAAAAAAAACTAAAGCAGGCTGTAATTAAAACAAATGAAGGCAAATTTTATTTTACAGTAAATCTGATGATTGCTGTATTTCTTTTAGGAAGACGAGCACAATGGGATTTGCACAAGCTCAGCTCTTATGGGGCATGATCGCATTACATTAAACTGTGACTATGGTAATGTTCTGATTGACAGCTCAACTTGAGATCATTGAATAACAGGCAGTATTGTGTGCCCTCTCACTTTAGAGGTATGTGACAGAAACGGACTTCTACAGACTGCAAATGAGGCGAATGGCGCTCACATGTGGCATCCGGCAATAAGCTATCAGTTCTGAATCAGGCATCTATGGGGTTAACGTCCTCAGGGGCAAAAATGTACATCAGACTCTTTTCATTCCCCTCACTATCTCATGTGTCCTCCGTGCTCTCTCCTTCAGGCGGGGCAACAAAGGCAGGTAGTCTCCTCCAGAAAACACACATCAATATCATATTTGAATTTCTAACATCTCACCACAACAGTTATCTGACCTCATGACTCGAGGGAGTCTCATAAATTCAAGGACTTTGTTTCAAGTCTATGTTGTTGATATTGAATAAGCAATTTGGATGGATGAATTAACGACTTTGGTGTTTCACAGTTGTAAAAAAAAATGTAATCCCCAAAGAAGTATTAAAATGTGGATCAATATGATTGAAAGCCGCTCACGGGTATGCCTTTGTCCACTGGGCATGGTGCAGCGGATGGAAACTCCTCTCTCTGCGACAACAAAACAAAGTGCAACCCAGTCTCTGTGTAATCTTTAATAATTAATGCAGGAAAAATGTGTTTAAAGCCAGGACATCCTCTTTAGTCAACAGAGCAGAGGTCAGATCCTTAACCACAAAGACCACCAGGGGTCCGCTCTCCCTTTCAGTCCTCTTGACTGGCTCTAATACTTCTATTCGTTCTTTTCTTCCTCCTCCACACCATTCCCATTCCTCCCTTTAACATCAACAAGCAAGAAATTAAGCTAATATTTTAAAAAGCCAGTACTTTCACAATTATACAGAGCAAAGAGAAGATTTTGCTAAAAGTGCCAGTTAACTTCTTTTCAATGCCAAGAAAGACTTTAGGGAATAAAAGTGGAGTAAGGCTCACTGATTGCTATGTTTTGATTTGTGATGCCATGTTTAAGGAATGAAAAAAAAATGCAGATTTGTGCAGTGCAACAAAGTCTAAGAGTTAATTATTAATGCGGTTTCAAAGGACATGTTCCTCCCTGTCCTGCTGTTCCACAAAGTTCAAACTGAGCAGATTATCAAAAATTGTTTTTTTATTTTTGTAAAAAAAAAAAAAAAAAACTAGACATAAAATGGATTACAAACTGCTGTGGTTTTAGAAACAACAGGTGCAAACACACAATAGTGCTAAGAACCTATTGAAGATATAATTTCCAAAGCCATGTGATTTTCTGCTATTTCCCTCTCCCTATCTTTCTGTTGTTGTTGTTTTTTTTTTAAATTTAAATTTAGCAAAGATTCATCCATCTCCTGCATTTAGCTGCTTGTGTTATGAGACTCTCTTCAGCTCATTAAAATGTAATGCTGATGACCAGCTCTCTGGAACAGTGCCTCCTAACCAAAGTTCATCACTGGCAGGCACTGCGGGCTTTTTCACTTTGCACACATGCAGAGGGGTTTTTTTTCACCAGAGTCCTCTGTCTAAAGACACTTTGTCTGCTGCTGTCCTGCTTCATGTGGAAAGGTGAAGGTGTAGGGTGTCTACTGCTTTCGCTGTTTTCGTGGAACAGAAACTCCCTTATCCCACAAATACCCGCAGATCACCTCTGTTTCTGGACGAATGTTTTTTTTTCTTGCAGTTTCTACATTAGTTGATTTAATTCTGTAGTTAAATCAGCTCCTACAGCCACAACATAATAATACGAATAATACGAATAATACGAATACTACTACTACTACTACTACTACTACTAATAATAATAATAATAACAATAATAATAATAATAATAATAATAATAATTTTACAAACTGTCCTGTAAAAGCCTATGTGGTCTGTTGTCACTCTCTTCCTCCATTTGGCTGGCAATAAAGATGGTGCTGCCGCCTCTGTGGTCCGCGTATTGAACGACTTTGTTGGGTATTTCCTTCTGCCTCTGGATCTGGTTACGCTGTATTGATCGGTTTTTATCGAGACAGATGTGATTCTTCGCGGCTCCAGCCTCAGCGGCAGTGCTGGCTGTGTTGCGCAGGGCCGCACAGGGGATTGAATTGCACTTATGAGACCACCCCTAACAGGCTCGTTTTAGCCTTACATGTGGGGATAAAAAAGCTACACTTTTATTTTTTTAAAGTTTGGTAAAAGACAAAAAGTTCCTTTCTTGTTTTTTTTTTGTTTTTTTTATCTCTTCCCCCCTGTTTTTTTCCATCACTTGCACGCAGACGTTTAAAAAGAAATGAGTTCACAGCTTTGTTCCTGGAAGAGTTTGCGCGCTTTGGCGCAGTTTAGCGCGCCTTCTAAGAAATAAAATAAAGCCGTGCCACCTACCTGTTGATGGATGAAACGCTGGGAACCGTGTCATTGTCGCAGACGCCCTCAGCCAGTAGTCGGTCCCTTATTTCCCAAGCGAACATGGTTGGATTCTGCCGTTTATATTCTGCAATTTTGTCCACCACTTTTGGAGTTGCAACCTTTGGTTTGGAGCCACCAATAACCCCGGGTTTAATACTGCCGGTTTCATAGTACCTGCATGGGGACAGAGCGAGTGTTCCTGAATGGATCCCTCCTTTATTTAAATCAGTCGTGTGATCAGTGAGAAAGGTGGCTTTAACAAAATCGTTTGTGTGGAAACAATCTCCATCGATCTTCTGCAGTTACATATAGGCTAAAGAAAAAAAAATACCTACGAACATTATGGCGGCATTAATCTATTAATTGGCCTGCAAGTGTGCTGTTATATGGGCCTAATTAAGTGTCAGCTGGAAGGCGCACAAAGCGGATTTTCAACGAAAAAAAGCAGTATAATTAAAATTAAACAATATGAGCAGTGAGAAGGACAGAACAAAGGATAGTTTAGCTGTAAGAGCGCAGTCTGGACCTCATTTCCAGTCTGCATAAGCTTACAGTAGCATGCACTACATGCCACCATGACCTACTGGTAAATGTTGGTGACAAACATACAGTGTGTGTGAAATGAAATACCTCTGAAATGCCTTCTGATAGCTGAAAAAAATATATGTCAGAATATTATCTCACAGCATTTGTGCTCTGAAGTAAAATTACCTAATTGCTCATATTTATTTATTTTTTTTACACCGATGGACAAATATAGGAACGGAAAGTATATATTTGGCGTTTATTTCTCACAGTAACATCTGATGCTCAAAGGCAAGTTTGGGTAGATTGTGGTAGTTTTCTGGATTTTGCCGCTTTTATTCCAATTCGAGTTTCTTTCTTTCTTTCTTTCTTTCTTTCTTTCTTTCTTTCTTTCTTTCTTTCTTTCTTTCTTTCTTTCTTTCTTTCTTTCTTTCCTTTTTTTTTTTGTAGAGAAGTGATAGCACCATTTCTTCGTCACCGACAGCCAGCCTCATATTTCTCTGGGATATTTTTTCTCATTAATATTTAGCTGTAAACTCCCCTCTTAACATTTATTTCATGATTATGATGCTTTTCTCTTGTGGGGCTGCAGGTGATGGATTGAAAATCTGGGACACAGAACTGCTGCGTTCAAGAAAAAAGAGAGAGGGAGAGAAAGAAAGAAAGGGAGAGAAAAAAATGACCTGCCTATATAACCGATGACTGAGGCTGAAATAGAGCTGGGTGCGCATATAGCAGCTATAGAAGATTGATGTTTGACACACACAGGGCTCTGTTTGGTAGTGTATCCCCCCTTTTACCTGCCGAGGATTTTGCTGACACAGCCGTGACTGACCCGTAGCTGTCTGGAGATGTCGCAGGGCCGGACGCCCTGGTGGGCCAGCTCCACGATCCGCTGCCTCACCACGTCGGGAAGGGGTCTGCCGTTCACAAACACCCCGCCGAGCTGGTTCACACCGCCGTGCCCTGCGTGGGATACAACAGCAACACGAGGAGGGGACATAACATTACATACCTGCAGAACACACTGCTGTGTGTGCTCATCAGCCCTCTACTGTGTGTGTGTGTTGAATTTTCAGAGTAAATGAAATCAAAGTAGCACAAACACACACAATGTGACGCAAATCTGAATATTAGCGAACTCTGATGCTGTTCAATAATAATAATAATAATAATAATAATAATAATAATAATAATAATAATAATAATAATAATAATAATAAATGAATTAAAGCTGCCACAATTTTAAACTAATTTTAAAACATTCAATTTTTAGAGGATTTTTGCCCAGCAAATGTAACAGTGAAATATAAAAGAAAAAAATATCACAATTTAAAAATAAAATCTATCTGCTTTTTCTTTTTCATTTCCAGGATCTCATCTGTCCCTGCTCACTGGCTTGGTTAGGCAATATTTTCCAAAAGGATCTCCCCCCCTCCTGCAGCCTAACACATGTCGCAGATATTACGTTTCAACCTGTTTAATTTTCCTTGCACAATTATTGTAAATAATTAAAACAAGCTTTGATAACTCATATTACAAACGCGGATTGTGCGAAGGAGGTGGGGATAAATAATTCACACAGAGTCCGGGTCTTCTTTTACGCATATCATATGGAGGGAATACGCGAGGAAAAAACAAGCAGAAAAAAGCAGACGCTTTCTAAATTCTGTCGTCACTTTAATTCTTTACCATCCGAATCAAAGTGAGAGATTGTTAATAAAGTGAAACGTTAAGGCTACATCCATTTGCACACAGCGTGCTCCCTGCCTCCCTAAAAGTAGCCTGAATGTGGCAGGTGATTTCCCAGGTAATAAAAGCTTTGTATTTAAATTAACTCTTTTCTTTTTAAATCCTCCCCCCCTCTCCACTTGTGTCTTAAATACAGACCTAAATATTTCCCACAACCAACCTCAGGGTTAATAAAGTTTAAAGATAATAAACTAAAAACACACAAATAAAAGCGGATTTCACCCACGTGGGTTTAAAAATAAGTCAGAAATCTTCCGTTTTTTATTATTTCATTTTAATTCGTCAGCCATCTGTTATTATTTACTCTGCATTATATTATCATAAAATTAACGTCAAAAACTGCTAAAACTATATTTTTACAATTAGCCTTTTAAGTCAACCAGTGGGGGAAAAAATCAATTTGGAAAAAAAAAAGTAAAGGTAGCAAGATTTTAGATGTGAGAATCGTGTACATTTCATTGGACAATAGGGGGGGAAACAGCGAGGCCCAATAAAAAATATCAATCACCTTACATTTCGCTATCGTAACTGTTTCAGTTCTATTTAAATTAGGGCGCAATCATTGCAAGTGCACAGGATCGTTTTTTCTTTTCTTTTTGTGCGCTAAAAAGTAAAGTAGGATGACAGACATGTTTTTGGTTTCTAAACTAATTCAGCATACTCACGGTGCATCGCTGAGAAGGGGTCTGCTTTGCAGTGAATATCCATGGGATAGCAAAGGAAAGAAAGGTAATCGACTGAGGTCGCCGTTTCGCCTCGGTGATGCAGCTTAAATGACAAAAAGAAAAAAACAATCAAGGATTTAGATGTTGGTGTAACACAGTCCGTGTGGGAAGAGTCCGCGGTGAACAAGCAGTGAACAACTTCTTGGGCGCGATGCTAAGTTTTCCTCCTGGAATAAAAAAAAAAAAGTCTAAACTCAAAAGTCTGCAGAAGGGGCTGTCAGGTGCAGTGCATGACCCACGCGTGTGCAGAGCGCACCAGTCGCGGAAACATTGGCTCGAAGCGGGTCACTGTTTGTTTTTAAGGGACATCATGAGGAAAACAGAAGCGTAAAACCGAGTCTCCACTGCTCCGCTCAGGAATCTGCGACCGGAAAAAAAAATCCCTCTCCTCTGACGGCGTGGTGGACCGGCAGGCTCTGTGGTTTAATCAGATAGGGGCGGAGATGACAACAACATGGACACGGCGAAGTACAGAGCAGCGAGTCCCCCTCTCCTCCAGAATGGGCTGTGCCTGAACGAAGCTTTGGGCAGAAAATGAAACCCCTCTCCTTGTGTGTCTGTTTCTAAAAGCTGCAGTCCCACAGTTCACCCCCCCCTCCTACCTCCATCCCACAGATCCCCTTGCATAGAGATGGATGACTTGTCAGACAAAGGCAATAGATTCCAACACTTTGTGATTCGCCCACGTAAAAACCTGCAGCTCAAATGAGGAGGTCCCTGCATCCGACAGCCAGGAAGGGGAGGGAGACGAAATGGGAAATGATGAGACTTTGGGGTAAAGAATCAAGGAAATTAAAGGCAGGAGGTAGAAAAGAGGTAAAACACTGTCAGGCTACTTTAAAGCCATGCTGCTCGGACGCTTTCAGTGAGAGGACTACCAACACAAACACAGTGAAGATTTTTGTTATAGCAGAGCCTAAAAAACACGCAGACACCTCAAAGAATCATTATTACATAATTACAGATGGTACAATTTTCTTGTAAATTAAACAAAGATAAGACGAAACCCTCCGCGTTTTATTTAACCAACTTTGTAAGCTTGGGAGAATGGCTAAAAAGGAATTTTGTGAACTTTTGCACCAAAATCTATATGAAAGCATTTCCTTGCTTTAATTTTTTCTGCTCCTAAATACACATTGAAAATATGTTGGAGCTGGTTAAATACAAATAAAGTTTTCACATTCAGAAACTGCCAAACCTTATTTACCCATATATGTGTGTGTGCGTGTGTGTGGTCAGAGAAGTGGTGTGTGAGGTGTGCAGGGGAGCGTCAGTCAGCAGGCCACCATCATCATCACCATCATCATCATCTACTCCTGGGCCTGTGTGCAGCACCGCTCTGTAGATGGCGCTCATACAGTAGGTTACACAGCCCACCACGCTCATGGAGGCAGACAGGTATAGGAAGGAGGGCTGACGCTGCTGAGGCTGGTCGGGTCAAAGGTTGGTGTGGTAAGAGTACTGCCAATTACGTACTCGTAATCTTTTCTTTGGAGGAACTCAATCCGTCAGAAAAGGAGAAGAAAAAACATGAAATCAAAGTAGATTTAAAGCGTACTCACCTGCATGAGCTGCAGCGTGAGGTTAACATTAACTTCTACGTGTTAATGCATTTTTCAGGTTATCCATCAGAATGGTGTCACTTTGTTTTCTATAAATAGGCTGGATGATAGTGAACTGTAAGCTGTGTTTTCCAGTGAATGGTGTGCCTGAGCAGTCACCTTGCATTCAGCTGAATTTTTGTACGTTTGTTTTTGACTGGCACAGCAAGCACAACAACCGCAATCTTTGGCTGTTATTTAGAAGTTTTGTGGACTTCATGGCGGCAGTTTGTGTTGCGTCCAGCTGCCCTCTGGACACGTTTGAGAACTATTCCTCTTTTTTCCACCTTTTTCCCTCCACGTTTTTTTTTTGTTTCTGCATTTTTTGGGAAGAGAGCTTCTGGTACAATATGTAGCACCATGGGCTGTAATTTCACACATCGATGCACTTTTGCCCTAAAGCTGCTGCTATTTCGCCCACAACACCCCTATTTGCCCCCATACTTCTCTGTAGTGCCACGATGACGTCCCCGTGTCACAGCACTACAGCAAAACAAACGGCGTGATAATTAAGAAACTGTTAGTCCTGACTTCACCCCTTTTAAAACCACAGCCACCAAGGACCTAATACGATTATTGTTTTCGATTTTCCTTTTTTCCCCTTGCCTGATTTACACAGTAAAGAATCTCTGAGCTCGTGGAAAACAACATAAGAACATTTGATTTGAATATATTTCAGAGAATTTTTTGTCAGTGTTTTTGAATGATGCTGGTAGAGGTTAAACTGTTTACACATCCTTTAGGTTCGTTATCAACAAATACACGCTATTGGGAATGTAAATATCAAGCTTGTGTTATACAACGGAAATTACAGGCTAATCTTGATAACTATATTTAATACGTTCACTGTGTGGAAATGTAAAGACACAGAAGAGAGAGACAGAGGGAGGGTCTGATGGTTTCAAAAAGGACAAGACAAACCCCTCTTCTTCTTCTTCTTCTTCTTCTTCTTCTTCTTCTTCTTCTTCTTCTTCTTCTTCTTCTTCTTCTTCTTCTTCCCTCTTCTTTCTTTCTTCTTTTAAGTGACATGAGCACCAGCTATTCAGTTATAGCTCGCTGTATGGACAACTGCACAACACACACACACACAACCACACACACACACACACACCACAAACACACACACACACACACACACACACACACACACACACACACACACACACACACACACACACAAATAAAAAAATAAAAAAAATGAAAGAAATAAAATAAAATAAGTAAGCGTCGATTGCCCACGTTGTATGTTTCTATATATTCTAATTTCAATGCAAAAATATCTGATTGTAAATTTGCATCTATTACCAGTTGAGAATGAAATAACACAGAGATTGATAGAAATGTGACAATTTTCATCTTCATTAATTAGGCATTTGAAATATACTCGAGGAGTCCTAATGTGCCCCATGACACCACTGCACAGCAACTCCCTGCAAGCTTCTCTTTAAGCGTAAAGCTTGTTCACTTCCACTTCTGCGCAAGCTCTAACTCTAGTTTATTGAGATTTATTAGATTTTATCGAAAATAAATCAATAAAAATCTTACAAATCCCTGTTTGCACAGCGTAAATGTCCAACTTCACTTTCTTTTTCTCAACTCAATGAAAAAACCCAGGAGTCAGTGAAGTAAACGCTGAAAAAAAACAAAAAAAAAAACAACCTCAAGTGCTCAAGTGCAGTACGCACGGTGCACTTAAAACTTTTACTTCCATCTTTTATCTTTCTTTTTTTTCACAATTGTAATTTAATCTTTCCCCATGAATTCATTTCCTCTTTATTTGTTAACACATCAGCATCATATCGAGAGCCACGTGCAGCATCCCACCATGATCTGGAGTCTCCTGACACCCAAAGCCATATGGGTAGGCTATGCCAAACTGCAGGATATCAGCTGCGTCCTTAGATTGCTTATTCATGTGCTTTATAACAGGAGCAGATGGATATCAATTTGACTCCATTCTCGACACCACCACAGATTGATTTTGTACTTGCTTTTAATTTTTCCATAATTAATTAGATCATTACAACTGTTTTCCATTGATCTTCCCATCTAAACTCAAAATTGAGAGGTGAATTAGATTGTGATCTATGTTTTCAATTAGAGCCTCGAGCATGTAGGTGATGTTGATAGGCTATTTAGCAAAATGGTGCAATATTAATAATAATAAAAATAATAAAAATAATAATAATCATAATAATAATGAATTTCATTAAAATACAAAGTTCTTACCTTAATTTCTGATATTTTACGAAAACAAAAACGAAATATAAATGCGTAAAAGCAGTTCACAATAACGAAAGAAAAGCGCAGATTGGTTAAATAATAAAGAATACAAATCCAGATGAGTATTAGGAAGAAAGCTGCATCCGCCAGAGACTGTCCCGCACAGCGCAACCAACACACCTGCAAACAAACGCTGACATTAGTATGAGGCAGAGGGAGAAATCCTTACCTGATCGACCCGCGCTGTGAGGCATGGCTCTCCCTTGTCTAATGGTGCGTCTCTCCGATGCAGCCCAGTAGATCTGTCCGGCCTCCTGCGCTGTCTCCCCGGCTGGGCGTCCTGCTTCTCCCCGCTGGTTGTCAGAATCTTTGACCGATCATCCAAAACTAAACGGTTTAGGCGACAACAAAAAGAGGAAGCAACCCTGCTCCAATGAGCTACGAATTGATAAAGGAACGAGGAAGAAAAAAGCAAAGAAATCAAAGAACAAAACAGCGTTGCAGGTGCTGAATTAAAAGAAACTGTAAAAATTGCCCATTAATGTGTATCACCAAAAATAAAAATAAATAAATAAAAATCGATTTGAAATTGCAAACAGCTGTGCCTTTCACTGTTTTATTCGGCAGCACTGATGTAGATTTATTAACATCATGTTGCAGACTTTGTTATAACTCGACACACTGTGGACTACATATGATTTTCTCTGGAGACTTTACAGTTTATTCAAAAATGTAAGAAGTGACTTGTCAGTCCTACCTCTTAAACACTAAGTTGAATTAATAAAATGTTGAATTTATGTATTAATCCTATAGAAGAAAAATACTTAAAATTATTAGAGGGAAAAGGCCATTATCAAAAAATAATGGTTAAATGTCAGAATGTAGGCTGTTTATGGTACAGGCCTCTCTCCCTCTCCCTCTCTCTCTGTGTCTCAGAGTGGGGGACAAACAGGAAATATGATAGTGCAGCTCTAATTGTAAACTCTACATTTTCAGTAGTTGTTTCCACCTGCCTGTCAGACCTAACCTAAAGTGAGATACTTAATGCAGTCAGGTGTCACGCAGATAAACTTTGCCCAGGAAACTTTCTCTGTGTGTTTAACAGTGGAAAGAAATACAAAAAAAATGTATAAGGGAGAGTATAAAACTTAGTAACTGGAACATTAACAGATGAATAACCAGTAAAAATGCAATATTACAATATCCACAAGAACGACAGAGCGTGGTAAAGCTATAAAATCCAACATTAAAAGATTATGGCGTCTCTATCGGCTATTTAACAAACATTTTGTATTATAAGACTCTTTACAGTGCTTGAAGTTCAGAAATGGCAATAAGACTGCCACTGGACCAAGGACCAGTAATGGATATTATGGAAGCCTTTATATGCAGCTCTTCCTCGCTTAAAATGTCATTTAAACAGGAACACACTTTGCAGCTGGGTGCTGTCTCCTTTTGAAAACATTAGATCTTCATGACACATCATTTAAATGTCTCACATAAAGAAAATATATTGTTTCCAAAAAACAATTGCACCAGATAAAGTGTAATAATTAAGTGAAAGCATTGATTTAGAAGCAGAAACTATTGGCAAATTAATCAAATAATCAGATTTTTTTAATGGTTTTTCAATAGGAAATAATAAAACTATCCAAATTTAGGAAGCTCATTTTTAATTAAATATCTAGAAAATGTGTTTATGTATTAAGCTTTCTGTTATTATAATGATTTCATCATCCCT